AGATGGGAGAGGGTTATGAGAGAGAGAGAGAGAGAACACAAACCAGGGGAGAGGCGGAGGAGGAGCAGACTCCCCGCTCAGCAGGAGCCCAACGCAGGGCTTGATCCCAGGATCCCAGGATCATGACCTGAGCGAAGGCAGATGCTTAACCGACTGAGCCACCCAGGTGCCCTTCTAGCAATGAATTTAAAGACAATAAAATTCCCTCAATGAATAGCCCATTATGTACTCAGTCATTGCATTATATTGCAGGACATTTAGGTTGTTTGCAATTTTGTGTGATTATAAATAGTTCACGCCTGTAACTTTTTCTATAGTTGAATCTTCTCCTTAGGAAGGATTTCTAGAAGTTGAATAACAGGGGCGCCTGGGTGGCTCAGTCATTAAGCATCTGCCTTCGGCTCAGGTCATGATCCAAGGGTCCTGGGATCGAGTCCCGCATCGGGCTCTCTGCTCAGCAGGAAGCCTGCTTCTCCCTCTCCCACTACCCCTGCTTGTGTTCCTGCTCTCGCTCTCTCTGTCAAATAAATAAATAAAATCTAAAAAAAAAAAAAAATTTAGAAGTTGAATAACAGTACAAAAAGTCACATGATGTTTTATCAAGTTTCTAACTGTGTACGTTATATTAAGGATTCTTTTTTAGGCACATCTAGGTGGATGACTTTAACAGCCCTGTAATAGCTTTAACAAAGGGGTGGTTCATCGTCCTTCTGGTTGGGGAGTGCCTTGCTGGATCTTCCATTGCACCTGTTCCTGCATGCAGTTCTTTGGCCAAGTGGTGATAATAGCCTGTCTTTTATCTCCTTGCCATAAAAGTATGGCTGAGAATTTATTTTCCACAGAATTATGACTACCCTCCTACTTTGATTCATCCCAATTTTTGATGTGTTAGGGTAGGAATCAAATTTGAATATTATTTTCTTCAGTCATTAACAAATGTATAAGCTATCAGGAGCCTTTATTTATTTATTTATTTATTAAATATTTTATTAAATATTTTATTTATTTATTAGAGAGAGAGAGACAGTGAGAGGCAGAAGCAGGCTTCCCGTGGAGCAGAGGGCCCGATGTGGGGCTCGATCCCAGGACACTGAGATCATGACCTGAGCTGAAGGCAGACGCTTAACGACTGAGCCACCCAGGCGCCCAGGAGCCTTTTTTTAAATTGAGGCGTAATCAACATACAACATTGTATTAGTTCCAATGTACAATATAATGATTCAATATTTGTATACAATGGGAGATGATCACCACGGTGAAGTCTAGTTAACATCGCAGGGATTCTTTTCTTGTTCTTTTACCTAAAGCGGGAAAGATTATGTATCTTAGAGGAGTATAGGAAAACTCGATTCTATGTTTTTACCGTTTAAAATTTAGCTTTAATCTTGTTTGGATAACTAAACTAGGATTCTGGGTGCCAATAATAGTCTGGAGAGGTGATTTAAAACTACAGTAAGCAACATATGAAGAATTTGCCTCTGTAGTCTATTGTTGTTTACTTGGGAAGCAGAGTGGGATAGTACTAAGAACATGGGCTTTGGGGTCAGATCTGGTTTCATTTCTTGATCTTGCAATAATAATAGTAACAACAGTGATATTATAAATAATTACCATTTATTGAGCATACTATGTGCCAGACACTAAACATTTATACATAGCATCTCATAGTAGTCCTGCAAGGTAAGTTTATGATTTCCATTTTTCAGGTGGAGAAATGAAAGCTCCGTAGAGGTCAGACACAAACACAGAGCTGTCTCTCTAGTCTTCTCTTCTCTCAGTTGTATCATGTTTATTTTCTTCTCTGTGTAGCCCTTTTCCCCGGTTTCCCAGAACCCCTCCCTGGGGGGACGGAACAAGTTCTCCGCTGTTAGGTGTAATTGTTAGGTATACTTACAGAAGTGTTTGGGAAGCGTGGCTCTGAGGCCATCACTTCATTATGCATCACAGCATACTCTTTCATTGTTAGAACACAGACTCTGCAGTGATAATCTGAGTTTAATATGTGGTATATGGTCATAATAGATGAGAGGAAGAATGTTTCAGAGATTGCTTAGGGAGTTCATATTTTCTTTCTTTTTTTTTTTTTTAAGATTTTATTTATTTATTTGACACAGCGCAAGCAGGGGGAGTGGCAGGCAGAGGGAGAGGGAGAAGCATACTCCCCGCTGAGTAAGGAGCCTGATGCGGGACTCTATCCCAGGACCCTGGGATCATGACCTGAGCCGAAGGCAGATGCTCAACTGACTGAGCCACCCAGGCACCCCGGGAGTTCATATTTTCATTAGTTACTGATCTTTTTCCTTCCTAAAGTTTTCAAAGTTGCATTTTAAGTCCGGGCATTTCAGTTCTTCCATTCAGTCATCCTTTTTTCTCTCAACTTCGCTTTTTTATAGAGTTTGAATTCTTATACAAATGGAGTATATGGCTCACCATACCCCACCGGTCCTGCGACAAATACTGCCTCATACTCTGGGGCATATTACACACCGGGATATACTCAGACCAGTTACTCCCCAGAGATTCCAAGCACTTATCGTTCACCCGGCAACAGCCCAGCCCCAGTCTCTCGTTGGCTGTATCCTCAGCAGGACTGCCAGACTGAAGCAGCCCCTCTTAGGGGGCAGGTTCCAGGATATCCTGCTTCACAGGTGAGCAGTTTTCTGTTGGGTTTTTATTTTTTATTTATTTATTTTTTAAAGATTTTATTTATTTATTTTGAGAGAGAGAATGAGAGACAGAGAGCATGAGAGGGAGGAGGGTCAGAGGGAGAAGCAGACTCCCTGCCGAGCAGGGAGCCCGATGCGGGACTCGATCCCGGGACTCCAGGATCATGACCTGAGCTGAAGGCAGTCGCTTAACCAACTGAGCCACCCAGGCGCCCTGTTGGGTTTTTATTTTTTAATATTCCGTGAGTGAGGGGCACCTGGGAGGCTTAGTTGGTTAAGTGTCCAGACTCTTGGTCATGAGTTCAAGCCCTGCGTTGGGCTACTTTAAAAAAAAAATTCTATGAGTGATACCATGTTTATTTCTCTGTCCACTTCAAGGGGAGCTCTAATACATCTTTTATTTGTGTTTCCTTATAGCATATGGGTCCACTTATTTATAGTATCATGGGACAGACTTACGCTGTGCTTTAGCCATTGAATTTTAAGCTTTCTCCTTCTGAGTTTGATTGTCACTAAATCTGCCCTTGTATCTTTCGAACCAAGCTCTTTTTTGGCTTGGAGAAATGACTACAACTGATTAGAGATGCTGCAGCTTAGCTCAGTAGCAGCTAAAGTATACTCTGTTAAGCAGAGAGGAAACATCTCAGTGTGTTTATACTAGAGTATTTTCATTATTTTAAGTTTTTTTTAGCAATGACCAGCATATTTCCTTCCTCTCAATCTAGAACCCTGGAATGACCCTGCCTCATTATCCTTACGGGGATGGTAATCGTAGTGTTCCACAACCAGGACCAACTGTACGACCACAAGAGGACTCATGGGCTTCTCCTGGTGCTTATGGAATGGGAACCCGTTACCCCTGGCCTTCAGCTGCCCCCTCAGCACCACCTGGGAATCTCTACATGAGTGAGAGTACTTCACCATGGCCTAGTAGCAGCTCTCCTCAGTCACCTCCTTCACCACCACCCCATCAGCCCAAGGTAGGAGACCTTCTAAACATTCTTTTGATGTTTGGGTAATTGAGAGAGCACAACATGGAAATTTTCTGCATTGGTGTGTGTTAAATGGGGACTAATTGCAAAAAGTTGGTGATTACTACCTATAGCTTTACGTAGCCCAGTTTCTTTTTTCTTTTAACAAACTATTTTTTAGAGCAGTTTTAGGTTCACATCTTTTTTGTAAAAGCCAGAAAAATGCTCATTTACTGTTTGTTGTACTGCTATTTGAATATTAAACAAAATCAAAGATGTATTTTATTACCTCAATCTGTAGACAGAAGACGATACCAATGTGAAATTGTATAAACCATGGACTTGAACATCATTTGCCTATGGCTAGGTTCCTTTTTAAGATCTGTCTTAAGGTTTTAACTCTTTAGGGAAAAAAACTAATTCCTATTTATTAAATCACTGCGGATTGTGAGGTGGGAAGGATAGATTATGAGGTGTTCATGACAATGAGCGCTTCAGGGTAGATTCCAGCCATTATACTCAGGAATTCTCTGCCTTTTACTTGACAGAGCACTCCTTTTATCTTTTTAGGGTTGTGTTTTTCTCAAATGATTAAGGAGGGAGGTCCAGTTTTATTAGTGGGGAATCTTTTCATGTCCCTTCATGGTCAGGTGAAAGATGTGGGCTAACAAATCTGATATTGATGGATTCCCATTAAAACATCTCTTTTCCCCTCTTTGCTCTCCCACTCCAAGGATGCCTCATACCCCTATAGCCAATCAGATCAAGGCATGAACCGGCACAACTTTCCTTGCAATGTCCATCAGTATGAGTCCTCGGGAACAATGAACAATAATAATTCAGATCTTTTGGATTCTCAAGTCCAATATAGTGCTGAGCCTCAGCTGTATGGTAATGCCACCAACGAACACCCCAGCAATCAAGATCAAAGTGATAATCTTCCTGAAGAGTGTTTATCTTCAGATGAAGGTACTCCCCCAAGTATTAAAAAAATTATACATGTGCTGGAGAAGGTCCAGTATCTTGAGCAAGAAGTAGAAGAGTTCATAGGGAAAAAGACAGACAAAGCATACTGGCTTCTGGAAGAAATGCTAACCAAGGAACTTTTGGAACTGGATTCAGTTGAAACTGGGGGCCAGGACTCTGTCCGGCAGGCCAGGAAAGAGGCTGTTTGTAAAATCCAGGCCATCCTGGAAAAACTGGAAAAAAAAGGATTATGAAGGATTTAGAACAAAGGGGAAGCCTGTTACTAACTTGACCAAAGAACTCTTGATTTTGGTTAATTAACCCTCTTTTTGAAATGCTTGTTGGTGACAAGAAGCAATACATTCCAACTTTCCTTTGATTAAAACTTGAAAAACTGGTAAAGGACTTGAAAGAACATTTTAGTTATGAGTTGTTTTCAGTTTTCAGACCAATGAATGTAATAGGAAACTGTGGAGTTACCGTTATTGCCAAGTAGACTCACTCCTTAAGAAATTTGTGGATATCTACAAGCTGCTTCTTATCAGCAGGAGGGAAACACGCTTTATGTAACAGGCTTATCAAAAATCTACCAGATGAGACTGGATATAATCTGAGGCAAACAGGCTCTGCTTTTTTAACCATATGGATTACTTGTCACATTTTTGTACATTGTGACTGCTTTCAACGTACACTTCATGTGTAAATTACAGCTTGGACTTTAGCCTTCTTGGACCTCTGTTTTGTTTTGTTATTTGCAGTTCACAAATATAGTATTATTCTTTACTTCTTGGTACGTTTTGTAGTAATATGTTTAATTATTCAAGAGACTATATTGACAGCCAGATAGTATGGCATTTCTGAATGAATTTATATCTTTTCACCACTTGAATATATTGCAGTGTGTAGTGAGTTCTTGAGGTAAATTGTCTCCTTTTTTGTATAGATCATTAGGGTAGAGTTTTACCACTTCTCCTTTTCATGTTAATAATGGAAGGTGAATTGGGAGATGGCAAGGGCACAGGAATGAAATGTTTGTGGCCATTTTGTTTTTTGCTTTTTTATTGCTTTTGGATAAAGATCCACCTTAAAATTTCCTTCCCCCATCCCTTAATTATCTTTTCACTGCTGCTGCTTCCATGTAGAGCATTATGATACATACAGATGCAAAATTAAAGCCACAGTGAGAAGAAATAACTGCAAAAGTAATAAATGTGACCATTTGGAAATGCGTTTCTCTATCTAAAATAATTAGTTTCACCATCAAGATCCCTATGAGCAGATTTCAGCTCAGTTTATAGTCAAAAACAGTGAGGGTAATAAAGGATTCATGCTCAGGGAATGAATCAGCCATAGCGAGAGTGGGAAATTTTCTTCTTTTAAAGGTAGATTCGATGTTTACCTTTATTTCCCTAGGATAAATTGTTGTATAAAAAAGATGTTTATTACCATTGATAATGATCATTTCAGAGCCAGATTTAAGAAAGGGATATTGAAAGGGTTTTAGCTGGGCTTGCTTGTGTAGCTTTATGTTATGGTGTGGAAGAGATTTAGGTAAATGACTTACTTTTTCTATCTAAGTGAGTTCTAGTATACAGTATCTGTTATTGGAAAAACAGCTGTTTCTTAATAAGATATCCAAGTGATAACTTTTTTCTAGACTATCAGGCCTATTAGTAATAATAAATCTATCAGTCATCTCCTCTCCTTTTTTTTTTTTTAAAGTAGGCTCCATGCCCAGCATGGAAGCCCAATGTGGGGCTTGAACTCCCAACCCTGAGATCAAGACCTGAGCCACCCAGGCACTCCCATCTCCTCTCCTTTTAAACAAAACCAGACAAATATATGATGAGAAGAAATGGAGTAAAAATATTGGCTGGGGCTTATGGGTGGGATGAGTGACTTTATGAGATAATGTGACAATTTTATTCTAGGATTTTAATTTTTGGCCTAATAGAGGAATGATAAAAAAAAAAAAGGCTTTCTATGAAAATTAGAAAATTGTACTTGAAACTAAAAATTTAGAAGGGGGAGAACCTTAAAGCCAACTTAAAGGAAACCAGTGAGACAGTGATGACTCAGTGACTAATTCAGGAGAGAACACTGTTGTTTAACCGAGGATCCAAGATACCAATTTCCACGAAGTCTTGATTTTTACACACACACACACACACACACATTATACACATATATATGTGTGTATGTTTTTTAGCAGCTTTTTTTTTTTAATTTTGAGATAATTTTAGACCTCCTGAAGAGTTGTAAAATTAGTAGTTTCTGTATACTCTTCACTGAACTTCCCCTTATGTTAACATCTTATATAACCATAGAACGATTGTCAAATTAAGAAATTAGCCTTGATACAATACTGTTAACTCAAGTAGAGAGTTTAAAAAGTATTTTCTTGGTCTTTTCACTGATGTCCTTTTACTGTTCCAATATCCCATGCAGGATTCTACCTTGCATTTAGTTGTCATGTCTCCATAGTGTCCTCCCGGTCTGTGACAGTGTATCATGACACCTGATGTCATAATGTGTTTCTGGTGTTGTTAACCTTAATTGCTATCTAAGGTGGTGTCTGCTAGGATTCTCTACTGTAAAATTCCTACATTTTTCTTTGTAATGACTAAATATTTGCTGGAGATACTTTGAGACTATGCAAATGTTTCTGCTTAAACTATTGCCCACTCATTTTTGTGTCCACTGCCAGATCTTGCTTGTGTCAGTTACTACTGTGGTGTTCTAATGGTGATTTTCTGTTTCTCTCATTTCTTCAACATTTACTAATTGGAAATCTTCTGTAAGGAAGCGTTATCACATTTGGATTTATATTTTCAACAAGATATTCAGGATAAATACAAACTTAGAACTTAAAGAAGTAAACCATGTTAAAAGGATTCCATATACCAATATCAAAGAAAGGAGAGTTTTGGTAACCTGTTTCAGAAAATATAATGAACCCAAGAAGGAAAGTAGTATTTATCATTTGTGGGTTTGGTTCAGTATCTGACCTAGTATTGACTCCAGACTGAATTCAAAATTTTCTTAGAGTTTCACATCTGGACTTCCTAAAAGTATCTAAATTTATATTGCTTTGGCGATAGTTTTTGTCAAAATCTTGAATAAAGTTACCCACATCTGGCATGTTAAATACAGCTATGTCTTCTTTATAATAAGCCATTATTGTTTCACATATAAATGCCGATAGAAATGTTTAGACAAATATGCCCTAATGAAGTATCTGGATGGCGGGTTATGCTTGTCTCTACATTGTTGGTATGGAACTCTTCTAAATGCTTTCAAAAATAGGGTTTTGAAAACAGTTCTTTAGTGGTTAATGTAATACCGTTAAAGATAGGCAGATTTAAAATAAAGTTGAAGACTATAGATTAAATTGGCATTTACAAAAAAGATTTTGGGGAGATGGATAGTTGATGACTGGATTTTTTCTTTTTCAGCTTTTTTTTTTTCTTTTTAAGAAAGTTATAAGCTTAAAGACTCAAATAATTCTATGGAAGTTATAACGGTATAAAGAGTCAATTCTCTGACAAGGACCATGCTTCTGCTCCCAGTGCCTTGTTTCCTTCTACAAAAGCAAGCACTTTGAACGGAGTTTTTAACAAATTCTCTTCATATTTTTGTTATTTTCCTATTGTTTTTTTAGTTGTTATATCATTTATTTCTGCTCTCATCTTTATTATTTCCTTCCTTATGCTGCTTTTGGGTTTTGTTTGTTCTTTTTCTAGCTCCTTTAGGTGTCATCTCCATATTTTAAATTTTTATTTATTTTTTTAAAGGTTTTATCTTTTTAAGTAATCTCTACACTCAGTTTGGGGCTTGAACTAACAGCCCCAAGATCAAGAGTTGTACACTCCACTGACTTGAGCCAGCCAGGCACCTTTCCATATTTTTTAATGACACAATTGTATTGCTTCTTTCATTTTATCAATTTTAGGTCATTTCTACTAATTTTCTATTATAGAGGCTGAAGGTTTAGGTTTATCTCTCTGCCTTTACCATATGCACATCTCAGTCCTCATCCCCCAAAACTCATCCTCCCCAAATGTAGCTATGTGATTTTGTTGTACATTATTATGACCACATAAATGCTAACCAGAGCTCAGTCATGTAAACTGTGATTATTCTTTCTTTCCTGAACAACTCCTTCTTTTCCCTGCAGTTAATCGATTATTTGTCTTATTTATTGAGTTTGCTCATGTACTTATAGCTAATCTGACCTCAAACCCTCCATCATTTGTGTAAATCTTATCAGATGTTCAGACAGACATTTTCTCAATTTCAAACTCCTGAAGAAGTCTACCCTGGAGCCTTCTAACTGGAGAACTGGTATGTTCTGATTGCATATTATCATTCTGGGATCTTCTACTTATCCTGGGGATTCTTTTTGCTTCTCCCGCTGATTTCCTGTTTTCTGTACTTTATGTCTTTCTCTTAATTTATTCCCTCAGTTTGGTGTAGAGCATGTTCTCTAGTAGCTTCCTGCAAAAGGGTGCAGGAGAAAAATTTTTTTTTTACATCTTACATATTTGAAAATGTGTTTTCATGATCCTTTGTATAAAACCCTTCTCTCTGGAAGCTTGTATGATATTTTTGTCCCCTGTGTTCTGAAATTTCCTAACAGTGTAGCTTTGGTGTGGGTCTGTTTTTATGCATCTTATTGGGCACATTTCATTCTGGAAACTCACACCCTAAGTCCAATGACATTGTCTTGATTTTGTTAATTTTCTGCCTCATCACGCATCACCCTCATCTGTTAACTCTTTCTAGAATTCCTGCCGTTTCTGTTTTAGACCTCTTAGACTGTTTTTTTGTTTTTGTTTTTTTAAGGGAGAGACTGGTGGGTGGGTGGGACAGAGGGAGAGAGAATCTTAAGCAGGCTCCATGCTCGGTGCAGAGCCTGGCATGGAGCTCAGTCTCACGATCCTGAGATCATGACCTGAGCCGAAATCAAGAGTGGGATGCTTAACCCAGTGAGCCACCCAGGCGCCCCTAGACTGGTTCTTTGATTCACTTTTCTTTTTTACTTTTTGTCTGCTGTACTTTGTGGGAGGTTTACTCACCTTTATCTTCTAAATCTTCATTGAGTTTTACATTTCTACTATATATTTTTAAATTGTAACAATTTTTTTTTGTTCTCTGTGTTCCTTTATGGAATTCTGCTTTTGTTTGTGGTTGTAGCATCTTCTGTCTCTGAGGACTATTAATGATAATTTCTCAGTGTTTCCTTTTTACTGAATAATGGATTTCCTCTGTAATTGCTTTTTCCTTTCTTTTTTGATCTCCATCTTTATCATATTAGAGATATTTTCTCAGATGCCTGTTAGTTCTTGGTTGTGTTTTGCAGTATTATACTGGAGACCCAAAATTGTTTCTAGAAAATGCTTCCTCACTATTTCGTTTTTATTTTTTCATAATCTTTGTTAGAAGGGAATAGCTCTTTTAAATCTGAAATTAGGAAGGGAGGATTGTCTGAATAATTTTCATTCCTGTGTGTAAATGGGAGGTTTTATACTCCATGTGGCTTTTCTCACCAGGAGTAGTGGGCACATTTGTTGTCATGAAATGTAAGGCAGAGGAGGTACCAGCTCTGAGAGTGAGGATTTAGAGGTTTCTGGGATCAGGGCACATTTTCTGTCTGCCAACCCTTAAATGTCCTTTTATTTTGCAATATATACTTTGTCTTCATAGGCTAATGTTAAGAGTAGTATTGTCTGATAAATTATAGGACTCCTAGTTACATTTGGATTTCAGAGAAATAACAAATC